TATCAAACATACATATTCAGTGCTGGAATCTATTGGCAGCACATAAGTTGTCCATAAATTGTGTCCACCCCCATGGTTAAGTCAGTTCACAACTTCACAATGAGGTCGCCAGATCTGTTGGTTGCTAGTAGGCATTCCCTTATGCATAACTGACCATAGCTTTTTAAAAATGTAAATGTATTGATGGTATGTATAAATAAATAAATAAATAAATAAATAAATAAAAAGTCACTCTATTTTGACAGGGAGACAGCATTCTTAATAGTTAGTGTTAGTTGATTGGTAATAATGTTTTGATGGCTGTTGCCGATATCTTAGAGATTAGAGCTGCCAATGGCCGATTTTAAAGCCATGCTTTAAAAATGCATGAAATTTCATAAAAATGCATAGCTTTCTGCAACAAAATTTATGTTTTTCTGGAAAAAAAAAAACTTACTAAAATAAATATAAATTATTTAAAAATTTCTTTTTGAATGAAAAAAACTTGAAATAATCAGATTTACAATTTACAACTTATTTTTTTCTGTAATCCCTTTTATAGTATTTTACACAAAAAAGAAATTGCTCAAACACTGTAACCAACAGCACACTCAGTAAACTAGCAAGTTTGTGTTCACTGGGAATCATATTTTCTCAAATAAAGCCCAGGAAATTCCAATTTTACATACAGTAGACTACACAATGAAGATGAAATGAATATGACAAAGTGACCAATATAGCACAGCATAGTTTGAAATCAAGAATGTTAAATTGCTCGCTCGTGCATGTCCAGTGACATCAGAACTCTCCTGTCTGCACCCAATTAACAGTATAAGAAAACAGTAAAGCGGCATCCTATTTTTCTTTAGGCTTATTTTACAACAATTTGTTTTTATTGTGAATGTACACAAATAAAGGCAAACCTTTTACAATTCTGATTATCTTTAGGACTAAAAGGAGTAGTTGCTTCCACTGTTAGAAGGAAAAAAATTCAAGTGATTGTGCCACACAGATAAGCATTGCTACCTTGACAATGCAGCCTGTTCATTATCATAATAAAATACAGTCAGTCAAACATATGGGAAAAAACTATGTAGTAAAAAAAAATATATATATATATATATAGTAAAATCTGTGCCATTAAGTGTTATCACAGTACCACCGTGATGTTATGCAAAACATTTTGTTTTACGTGGATATTGGAACGCGAGTGAAGTACATAATAAATAATAATTTACCATTCAAATACATTGCGAATACGGAAACATTTGATTTTGTGTCGAATGAGAGACCCAACGTTGGTTTCAGTTTCGTTTTAGCCTAAATGAATTTGTTTTGGCTTGTCATTTATATTGCTATAGCTTCTTATATTTTTAATTCTTGTACTTTTCTAAATACTGTTAAGTAAAGGGATTTGTTGTGGAGTGAGGGGAACTAAAATAGCCTAGCTATGTTTACAGAGTTTATTATAATGTTTGTAAACATTTCGTGTCGGCATTAGGCCTATTTCTGAATGAAATAATAAAATGCGACTTATGTTTTTTTCCCCTAAAAACAAATTTTTTTATATGCATAGCGTATTTTAACCATGCAGCAAACCTTTTTAAATATTTTGATAAACCTACTGAAAAAATAAATAATTAAATGACTTTTTAAACCGTTTAACTGATTGTATTAATCTGTCAAAATTCTTACGATCGGTTAACGGGTAAAATGAACATCCCTAGTATTACCAAGAAACGACTTATTACTTGTACTGCTGACCATTTCTAACACAATTTTCCATGCACCATTTATTATATCCAGACAAATCACATGAAACAGCAAAATTACTTGTCCCAACTACGTGTTAAGTTGATAGACACACCTACATTCTGTCACAAACAAAAGCTGTCACTTAAATCACCAACTCCCACTGATAATGAATGACTTCTGGTTGCTTTGTGGATACAAGTTACTGTAAGTGTGACTTTAGGTCGCTGCTTAAATATTTGCAGTGTATCAAAAACATTTAATAGAATCTGTGATCACTCTTAACATTTCCTGATATGCGGTTATTTCACTCTGAATCCCCTCTTACCAGTGATTAAAAACTTTGTTACATTAAGTATTATCCTTCCCTCCTGTCATTAAGAGCCGCCCCACTTTAAGCTGTCATAGATATGCACTCCATTTTCTCTACAACCAAATATGTCAATGTCACTGTTATACATCTACTCAACAAACACTTGCATTCCCTGCCTTTTACCATAATAGATGCTGGAGACTAATTTGTTGCTCAGAGAAATCTAAAAAGACTGGATCATTTTAAACATGACCACCCTTCTGGTGGATGACTTCCTCAATTTTGCCGAAAGCTATTGTGCAACAGCAGAAGTTTTGGACTTCTCATGTACACAGAAAAGTTAGGCAACAGAGAACATGCCTGGCACCAGATCAGTGAGATTATTCACTAGTATAAGAGAGAGTGACATCAGTGTTGAGGTCTGAGTATGTGTGAGTGTGTGGAAGCCTCAACATCCACTAATGTGTTTTTTTTCCTTTTTGACAAGGGGCCCTCAATATTTCTGGTACTTCTGCTGTGACAAAGCTGCTTGTTTGCAACCAACAGTGACAATATATTAAAATGATTATGAGATGTAGTATATTTCTATTTACAAATAGCAATTTCTCAGAGATTTCCACCCATTATTTTTTAGAGCTCATAGAGCTCAAAATAACTACAAACATTTACACTACTGTTCAAAAGTTTGGAATCAGTTAGATTTTTTTTTTTTGGAAAGAAAAGAGGCCGAATACTTTTATTCAACAAGTATGCATTAAAATTGATCAAAAGTGACAGTAAAGACTCTTACATTGTTACAAAACATCTTTTCTCTTTTTTTTACAAATAAGTGCTGTTCTTTTGAAAGAATTCAGGATAAAAAGAAAGAATAAACACTGTTTTCAACATTGATGAAAAGAAACATTTATTGAGCGCCAAATCTTCATATTAGAATAATAATATGAAGATTTATCATCACAGGAATAAATTACATTTTAAAATAATAAAAGAGTAAATAGATATTGTAAATTGTATTTCATAATATTACTGTTGTTACTGTATTTTTTAACAAATGCAGCCTTACTGAATGTAAGACACTTTTTTCAAAATAAAAAATTAGCTTTCCATACCCAAACTTTTATACAATAGTAAATATTAAAATACATAAATCCAGGTATCCAGGTTTTCCAAGACTGTGGAAGCATGGTTCTTAAATAAAAATGACGGTTGTTGAGTTGCTGTTTTAACTTATTTTAAAGCTTTGTGTTACTTTAAACAAACACTTTTATGTTTTAAACCGCGGCCCCAGCAGGCCTGTGGGCCCCTAGATGAGAACCACTGCACTAGTAGACAAAATGTGGGGTGTTTTCAACTGCACAAGCCACATTCGCTACACTCGTGGTGACTTCCTAGCCATTCCTTGGGAATAAGAGGATTTAAACACTAACTAATCATGAAGTATTACAACATACCCATATTCCTCAGAATTTGAGGCAGCCTGGGACACAAAAAGTTAGTTGTAGTATCCATACCAGACTACTTTCAGGGCACCATTCAACTACAGCAATCAGAAAGTCTCCATCTGGCTTACGAAGGTTTACATTCCACAAAGCAAATGGAGCTCATAAAAGGATGGATTCCTGCAGCTCCCAAAAGAGTGCCATCATTATGAAGCTGGTACAGGGCACACTCATTTAACTGGATACAAGCTGTTTAGCAAAGTTACTATGCATATGTGGATTACACAGACTTAGACACTCATTCACCTCGCTTGATCTGGAACCCTGCTGTGACGATAAGCTCTGTCCGAGACCTATCAAGATGACTTAATGAACTTCAGACAGCTTTGTTACGTTTGCAGGCAAGGCCACAACTTTTGGGAAGTGAGGCAGTCTTGTCAAGTAATTAATACATGCATGAGGAGGCACCTTGAAATAGCCTGTCCTACATCCAGTAACCAGCATTACATATTTAGAAGTCAAAGCAAACTAATCTCAGGTCACTAAAAGTGGCATATGAAATATGAGAAGGCTGTGCAAGACACAGGTATGACAAAGTAATACTAAAATACTTGGCTCTGTATCAAACAGTTGACAAATGCCTAACATGCACTACTAACCAACATACTGTTCCGTTACTAGTACTGACGCCTTCAGTTATATTTCTTAAAAATCACATGACACTACTGATAAGCTTGAGGCTGGACAACAACAGTACACAACAGACAAATAACTTCATCATGTATCACATGGGCCTTTCTTCGCCCTGAGGTCAGCAAACTTTCAACAACGTTATAAAACTTTCAAAAAGGCAGCCAGCAAGAACTGAAACAAACAGTTCTAGTTTCACTACTAAGCCTTTGAGATAAGCGTAACCATCCACAAAGGTTCAGCACTATCACAACAAACACTACTCCAGACCCCACTGAAACTCACAGAGTGTTCTGACAGCACATTATCACGAGGTTCAGGGTCCTGTGAAGTAATACGCTGATAGGTTCAACAGCTCCATCAGAGAACGCTGGCTGAGCTGGTTAATCTTTGCAGTGAAAGCATGCTCCAAGTTTGAGAGAAACTTTGTTGATCGATATAACAAAAATGGTCAAATTCTTCACTGCTATTTGTCCGAATGGACACTAGAGGTAGAAAAGCCAAGTAGGGTGTGGAAATTTTTTTTGTCAGGGTCACTGCACAAAAAGGGGGCCTTTTGTGTGCCTCATGAATGTGTGTAAACAATGATTTTAACAATTACAAGCTGACACCAACTTCTACAATGAGTTGTTTATAGGCATTTGGCATTTCTTTTCAGCAAAAATGCAGATTTTTGCATAAGTTGGTGTCAGTTTGTTATATATATATATATAATTTTTTCTTCTACAAGCACATGCGACACACATGTTGCTGAAAAATCTCCCACTTAATTTTACATAACTAAGAAATAACAACAACAAAATTAATCCTGAAAATTAAATACATACCAGTTTTTTGTTTTTGCTCTCGTCCTCGCTGGTTTTCTTTTTGGAGGGTTTATTTGGGTCCTCCCCTCCAGCAGCCTGCTGATCCATCTTTGGAATGAAACTTCACTTCAACAGTAACTTTGTTTACAATTTCCCACGAGTTTGCAAACACTTATGAAAAATCACGGTCCTTCAAAAGCCATGTCATCCATGAAGAAAGAAACAAATATGAGTTGGATCCAGAACTATTCCATGTAAGTATCCAGTGGAATATGATGTAACATCTGTGAATGAAGCGGTCCAAAAAAATAAGGTGTGGAGATATTCAGTCCAAAACAACTACTCCGAGTCTGAGGGGAAAATAACAAACCAACCTGTTATAAAATTACATTTCGGAAGTGTTTTGTAATGTATACTATATGAAAGCACATTGAATAATTACAATAAAAGATATACAGCCATATATACACACTGTCAGTTAAGAGCTTGTGAACTTTTGTCGATTGTAATACATCAATGTAACATTATAACAATCATCTGAGGACACACTTTTGCCTTTCAGTAGAGTCAGTTTAACAATGCGTCTAATAAATTCGGAATTTCACACTTAAAACAATTATATAACAAGTCTATTCAAATATAAAGATTTTTCAGAGACTTGTAAAAAGTCAAAAGAGGTCTGTGAGTTCTATACAAAATGGCATATGTATAGCCAAACTGATTTTATTCAAAGGAGAAATGACCGCTGCTATCATCTAGGCGGTTACTTTCACACAGGAAACTGTTATTCCAGCGCTATGAGGCTTAAAGTAAAAGTATACAATAAAGACATGGGTTCTAAACGCCAAGTCTGCTTACATGGACATAGCGAATTAATATTAAACACCCAAATAGTCAAGTAATAATGCAGAAAACTGACAAAATCTCATCCAAGGCTTACCTACACAACCACACACACGAGCCAGGCCCACTATTGTCCCCGCCTATGGACGCTTCCCAATGCTCGTGAATAGTCACGCGGTAGAAAGATTTCAGCACTGATTGGTCACTTGAATGTTACAGCTTGAAGTGGGAGGGGGGTTTCATCACTCGTGGGGAGGAGACCGCTGGCTTTGGCTATATTGGAGAACTGACTGCTGTGCATATGGATAGGCTTAAATCAGTGGAAAGTCAAAATTATTTGCATAGCAGCGCAAAGTGCATTGGAGTAAATAAGATATTATCGTAGGTCTTATAAAAAAAATGGAATGCACTTATTTTTTCTGGAACTGCAGACTTTTTGTATTTATTTGAATTATGTTTCACCTATGACATTACATATAACTGGTAATGCATTTAATTGATTTGCTGGTAATGCATTTATAATATAACTGGTAATGCATTTAATTAATTTTGGAACAGCTTGAGGGTGAGTAAATGATGACAACTTTCATTTTTGAGTGAACTATCCCTTTAATAATTTTTAATGTCTTTGTCTTTTAATGTGTGTTTTTTTCTATCTTGCAAAATATGGGTAAAATGTGTGATGTATTTGGAATACCCCTCATTTTCACAAAAAAAGGTTAAGTGACACTGAAAATATTCCTTAAAATGTTTTTGCATTAACACAAAACAACAAAACAATAAGCCCACAGTAACCATGCTCTCCATCTCTGTACATGATAGCTCAAATAGACCAATTACAGAAGTACATCTTGTGTAATTCCAAGTGCTTGTCAACTTCAGTTTTGTCCAACAACAGATTTTTCACATATTACATAACTTGGAAAGAGATTTTACATCTGCATACAGTGTTGATTTTGAACGGCCTGTTTGCAACCTGATGTGCGTTTACATAATATGTAATGTTGCAGTAATTCACCGGCAATAATTCATACTTACTGTTACTTTATACAATACATACTTGAACATATAGTTTTGTGTGTAGTTCCTACACAGGCAATTTCAATTCAGTTTTAATTGCTTTAATACAAAGATTACTGCTGTCCAAATCTTTATTTGGTGCTCACTTCTCACACTCTCTCTTTCTTGTTCTCACTTCCTCTAAGCAAGGCTTCTATCCAGTTGCTTGATCAACTACTGTCATCTGGAGTGGATGCAGAGCATCTATATAAATTACACATAATGCAATAATAAGAGGGCAAATGTTGTGGTGAAGAGGCACAATGCACAAACAAATTCACAGTCGGGATATGTGTGTCAAAATCCCTTTAGCTCTCACCTGAACAGTAGCTGAATAGCACTAAAGGTGAAAATACAAATTGGTCAAAGTTTATTTGGTCACAAAAAGAGTGTAATGAAGCAAAGAGAATTGGGGAGGTCTAGAGAAACAGCAGGGAGCATAGGCTTCACACATTGTGTGCCTTCCTCATCACAGCTCACAGTATGGGAAGAACTTTGAAGGGTGTGCTTTTATTTCAGCCACTCACTTTATCTTTAATGTCCCAGAAGGGGAACGCCACATTAACTGCCTTTAAAATTCTCTTGGCCTTGCATTAGATACATTATGTACAATAAATGATGGGGTCAGGACAATTAGTAAAAGAGTATAATGCAATTAGAAATACATTCAAATACATTATAAATGTGCTTGTTCAGCTTGTAATATAACTATACACAATATATATGTTGAATGAAAACATTATGTATTTTGTTTTATTATTTATTAATTCATTTGTTTGATTTAAATCATTTGATTTATTTTGTTCATTTGGTTTAATTTTTCTTTCAATTTCAGTTGTTATCTTTGTCAGTTTTTTTCTCAATATTTCACAGTGCGGTTGCAGGGTGTAACCACAACAGACATAAACTTGACAGTCTAGTTATCATCTGTGGCACCTGCCAAAACTATGCCACTTCCTTTGTGCTTCTTAAGCTGAACTTCTTCAATTGTTCTTCCACATCAATGATTACGCTTTTATTAAAATAAAAAAACTTCCACCAAGGGCCATTTCTTCATCAAATAGAGGATTTACTGTATAAAACAGTGCAATCAAGCTGTGTTACACATATACTGTAGTGACAAGATATATATTCTGCTCTATTTGTTTACATGAGTGGTTTATGCATGTAGCATCCTCATACCAGGTCTAAAATTAGATACCAGGGCTACTTTTACATTATGGGCAGCTATTTCCCATGGTTTGCTTTTGTCATTTAACTCAGTCCTGCCCGTATGAGACTGTTGCTCTAAATTCTCAGTCTTGTTCACTAGGCCCTGTCGAGTGATTCATAGAGTCCCAGGGCAAGACAATGAATTTCCATTTACAAGAGATGAACAGTAAACCCGACTTGTGACTTATAATCATATGAACATCTACTCTGATTACTGAAGTGTGAAGATAACCGTCTGTAGTTGGTGCAAATTGTATTGATCTGGGCCTGTTTCTCACATTATTAAATACTTCACTGAAAAAAAAAACCTGTTGGATTAACATAAAAATATGTACATCGGTTGCACATATTAAAGTTAGATTTACTCAACATGATTTTTATATGTTAACGCTACATAACTTATGTTTGTTAAATGAACATGATTTAAATATGTTAAAGCTATATACTTTCTGTTTGTTAAATTAACATGATTTATAAATGTTAAAGCTTCATAATTTGTTTGTTAAATGAACATGATTTATACATGTTAAAGCTTCATAATTTGTTTAAATGAACATGATTTATATATGTTAAAGCTACATAATTTATGTTTGTTAAACAAATGTGATTTTAATGTCTTTCATTCATATATGCAGTGGTTTCACAATAAATAAAACTATCCTGGTTAGTTCTAGTTTTAGAATACTGTAAGCTGACTTTCATAAATACATGTATTTTGTACATCTACTAGTCTTAGCTACAACATTAATACGATACAGTTTTAAAAAGACAAGCAAAAACATTTCTTGAATCAATTCACTGTATTTTTAACAGTACAATACATTTTCACACAGTATGTGCTACAGAAACGTTCTGTTAAGATAAAAAATTGCTTAAATTTCATGAATGAATGACTACGAACAATGACAGCATATCCCGTCATTAGACAACTCAGAGAGAGTAAACAAAACAAACATTAAGTAAAAGACAAGACACTTTCAAACAGGTGTTGTGGTAAGTTGATGAGTATAAAGTAGTCCAAAGCTTCTCTAGACGTTTTTGTTTTAAAAGCATAAGCTGGTTAATCTTTGCAGTGAAAGCATGCTCCAAGTTTGAGAGAAACTTTGTTGATCGATATAACAAAAATGGTCAAATTCTTCACTGCTATTTGTCCGAATGGACACTAGAGGTAGAAAAGCCAAGTAGGGTGTGGAAATTTTTTTTGTCAGGGTCACTGCACAAAAAGGGGGCCTTTTGTGTGCCTCATGAATGTGTGTAAACAATGATTTTAACAATTACAAGCTGACACCAACTTCTACAATGAGTTGTTTATAGGCATTTGGCATTTCTTTTCAGCAAAAATGCAGATTTTTGCATAAGTTGGTGTCAGTTTGTTATATATATATATATAATTTTTTCTTCTACAAGCACATGCGACACACATGTTGCTGAAAAATCTCCCACTTAATTTTACATAACTAAGAAATAACAACAACAAAATTAATCCTGAAAATTAAATACATACCAGTTTTTTGTTTTTGCTCTCGTCCTCGCTGGTTTTCTTTTTGGAGGGTTTATTTGGGTCCTCCCCTCCAGCAGCCTGCTGATCCATCTTTGGAATGAAACTTCACTTCAACAGTAACTTTGTTTACAATTTCCCACGAGTTTGCAAACACTTATGAAAAATCACGGTCCTTCAAAAGCCATGTCATCCATGAAGAAAGAAACAAATATGAGTTGGATCCAGAACTATTCCATGTAAGTATCCAGTGGAATATGATGTAACATCTGTGAATGAAGCGGTCCAAAAAAATAAGGTGTGGAGATATTCAGTCCAAAACAACTACTCCGAGTCTGAGGGGAAAATAACAAACCAACCTGTTATAAAATTACATTTCGGAAGTGTTTTGTAATGTATACTATATGAAAGCACATTGAATAATTACAATAAAAGATATACAGCCATATATACACACTGTCAGTTAAGAGCTTGTGAACTTTTGTCGATTGTAATACATCAATGTAACATTATAACAATCATCTGAGGACACACTTTTGCCTTTCAGTAGAGTCAGTTTAACAATGCGTCTAATAAATTCGGAATTTCACACTTAAAACAATTATATAACAAGTCTATTCAAATATAAAGATTTTTCAGAGACTTGTAAAAAGTCAAAAGAGGTCTGTGAGTTCTATACAAAATGGCATATGTATAGCCAAACTGATTTTATTCAAAGGAGAAATGACCGCTGCTATCATCTAGGCGGTTACTTTCACACAGGAAACTGTTATTCCAGCGCTATGAGGCTTAAAGTAAAAGTATACAATAAAGACATGGGTTCTAAACGCCAAGTCTGCTTACATGGACATAGCGAATTAATATTAAACACCCAAATAGTCAAGTAATAATGCAGAAAACTGACAAAATCTCATCCAAGGCTTACCTACACAACCACACACACGAGCCAGGCCCACTATTGTCCCCGCCTATGGACGCTTCCCAATGCTCGTGAATAGTCACGCGGTAGAAAGATTTCAGCACTGATTGGTCACTTGAATGTTACAGCTTGAAGTGGGAGGGGGGTTTCATCACTCGTGGGGAGGAGACCGCTGGCTTTGGCTATATTGGAGAACTGACTGCTGTGCATATGGATAGGCTTAAATCAGTGGAAAGTCAAAATTATTTGCATAGCAGCGCAAAGTGCATTGGAGTAAATAAGATATTATCGTAGGTCTTATAAAAAAAATGGAATGCACTTATTTTTTCTGGAACTGCAGACTTTTTGTATTTATTTGAATTATGTTTCACCTATGACATTACATATAACTGGTAATGCATTTAATTGATTTGCTGGTAATGCATTTATAATATAACTGGTAATGCATTTAATTAATTTTGGAACAGCTTGAGGGTGAGTAAATGATGACAACTTTCATTTTTGAGTGAACTATCCCTTTAATAATTTTTAATGTCTTTGTCTTTTAATGTGTGTTTTTTTCTATCTTGCAAAATATGGGTAAAATGTGTGATGTATTTGGAATACCCCTCATTTTCACAAAAAAAGGTTAAGTGACACTGAAAATATTCCTTAAAATGTTTTTGCATTAACACAAAACAACAAAACAATAAGCCCACAGTAACCATGCTCTCCATCTCTGTACATGATAGCTCAAATAGACCAATTACAGAAGTACATCTTGTGTAATTCCAAGTGCTTGTCAACTTCAGTTTTGTCCAACAACAGATTTTTCACATATTACATAACTTGGAAAGAGATTTTACATCTGCATACAGTGTTGATTTTGAACGGCCTGTTTGCAACCTGATGTGCGTTTACATAATATGTAATGTTGCAGTAATTCACCGGCAATAATTCATACTTACTGTTACTTTATACAATACATACTTGAACATATAGTTTTGTGTGTAGTTCCTACACAGGCAATTTCAATTCAGTTTTAATTGCTTTAATACAAAGATTACTGCTGTCCAAATCTTTATTTGGTGCTCACTTCTCACACTCTCTCTTTCTTGTTCTCACTTCCTCTAAGCAAGGCTTCTATCCAGTTGCTTGATCAACTACTGTCATCTGGAGTGGATGCAGAGCATCTATATAAATTACACATAATGCAATAATAAGAGGGCAAATGTTGTGGTGAAGAGGCACAATGCACAAACAAATTCACAGTCGGGATATGTGTGTCAAAATCCCTTTAGCTCTCACCTGAACAGTAGCTGAATAGCACTAAAGGTGAAAATACAAATTGGTCAAAGTTTATTTGGTCACAAAAAGAGTGTAATGAAGCAAAGAGAATTGGGGAGGTCTAGAGAAACAGCAGGGAGCATAGGCTTCACACATTGTGTGCCTTCCTCATCACAGCTCACAGTATGGGAAGAACTTTGAAGGGTGTGCTTTTATTTCAGCCACTCACTTTATCTTTAATGTCCCAGAAGGGGAACGCCACATTAACTGCCTTTAAAATTCTCTTGGCCTTGCATTAGATACATTATGTACAATAAATGATGGGGTCAGGACAATTAGTAAAAGAGTATAATGCAATTAGAAATACATTCAAATACATTATAAATGTGCTTGTTCAGCTTGTAATATAACTATACACAATATATATGTTGAATGAAAACATTATGTATTTTGTTTTATTATTTATTAATTCATTTGTTTGATTTAAATCATTTGATTTATTTTGTTCATTTGGTTTAATTTTTCTTTCAATTTCAGTTGTTATCTTTGTCAGTTTTTTTCTCAATATTTCACAGTGCGGTTGCAGGGTGTAACCACAACAGACATAAACTTGACAGTCTAGTTATCATCTGTGGCACCTGCCAAAACTATGCCACTTCCTTTGTGCTTCTTAAGCTGAACTTCTTCAATTGTTCTTCCACATCAATGATTACGCTTTTATTAAAATAAAAAAACTTCCACCAAGGGCCATTTCTTCATCAAATAGAGGATTTACTGTATAAAACAGTGCAATCAAGCTGTGTTACACATATACTGTAGTGACAAGATATATATTCTGCTCTATTTGTTTACATGAGTGGTTTATGCATGTAGCATCCTCATACCAGGTCTAAAATTAGATACCAGGGCTACTTTTACATTATGGGCAGCTATTTCCCATGGTTTGCTTTTGTCATTTAACTCAGTCCTGCCCGTATGAGACTGTTGCTCTAAATTCTCAGTCTTGTTCACTAGGCCCTGTCGAGTGATTCATAGAGTCCCAGGGCAAGACAATGAATTTCCATTTACAAGAGATGAACAGTAAACCCGACTTGTATCATATGATCATATGAACATCTACTCTGATTACTGAAGTGTGAAGATAACCGTCTGTAGTTGGTGCAAATTGTATTGATGTTTCTCACTTTCTCACATTATTAAATACTTCACTGAAAAAAAAAACCTGTTGGATTAACATAAAAATATGTACATCGGTTGCACATATTAAAGTTAGATTTACTCAACATGATTTTTATATGTTAACGCTACATAACTTATGTTTGTTAAATGAACATGATTTAAATATGTTAAAGCTATATACTTTCTGTTTGTTAAATTAACATGATTTATAAATGTTAAAGCTTCATAATTTGTTTGTTAAATGAACATGATTTATACATGTTAAAGCTTCATAATTTGTTTAAATGAACATGATTTATATATGTTAAAGCTACATAATTTATGTTTGTTAAACAAATGTGATTTTAATGTCTTTCATTCATATATGCAGTGGTTTCACAATAAATAAAACTATCCTGGTTAGTTCTAGTTTTAGAATACTGTAAGCTGACTTTCATAAATACATGTATTTTGTACATCTACTAGTCTTAGCTACAACATTAATACGATACAGTTTTAAAAAGACAAGCAAAAACATTTCTTGAATCAATTCACTGTATTTTTAACAGTACAATACATTTTCACACAGTATGTGCTACAGAAACGTTCTGTTAAGATAAAAAATTGCTTAAATTTCATGAATGAATGACTACGAACAATGACAGCATATCCCGTCATTAGACAACTCAGAGAGAGTAAACAAAACAAACATTAAGTAAAAGACAAGACACTTTCAAACAGGTGTTGTGGTAAGTTGATGAGTATAAAGTAGTCCAAAGCTTCTCTAGACGTTTTTGTTTTAAAAGCATAAGACACATCAAATCTCTGTATTATTTTTAACAGTACAATTATTTTTTTCACCGAGTATGTGCTACAGAAATAAGCTTTCTCTGTGTGAAGTTAAAAACTGCTTGCATTCCAAGAACGAATGACTACAAACAATGACAGCATATCCTCTTGTCTTTAGATCATTTAGGTATAGTAAAATGCAATAAAACAAACATTAAGTAAATGACAAGACACCATCAAACAGGTGTTCTGGAAAAGGTTAACAGTAATGAGGAGTATAAAGTAGTCCAAAGTACAATACATTTTTTCACTGAGCATGTGCTACAGAAATGAGCTTTGCGTTTCTCGACGCAGCTCGAGTTCCTGAAGAGGAACGCCTCAGGTTACGTATGTAACCCTAGTTCCTCGAGGGAACGAGACGCTGCGTCTCGGTGCCAGCCTTCCGGCGTCCCTGCCAGTGCTTGCTTCACTCCTTGAGCTGACGCTGGTCTCACCGCACGTGCTTTTATAGCCTCCTGGTCATTACGTCACCCGCCGTGACGTCTCGCCCATCTATTGGTCTGATTACACACGAAATTCAGAGCCCGTCACGCTGAACGGCGTTCCCCTAGCGTTTCTTGACGCAGCGTCTCGTTCCCTCGAGGAACTAGGGTTACATACGTAACCTGAGGCGTTTTCTTTGAGAGTGTGTGTGAAATAATAAAAGAAACAGTGGTCCTTATTCCAAGAGGAAGTACCTGCCGTACCATGGAAACAGTTCACTCATAGAGTCTGTTTCTAAGAACTTGAGCTTTCTTTGATAAGAGTGCAGCCTTCCAGCTCCATGACTTCTTTCTGCAGTACATCAAAGGTATATTTCATTTCAGGTGGGTAGTTGAGATTTAAAGCATACATTAGACCAAAAAGCATTGCCGTAGCTAATGCAAAGTTGTCCAAGCCTTGCCAGACATTCTGGCCTTCAAGGACCAATCCCGATGTCCTGAGATCCGTCATGAAATTTAAGGATGTAGATTCCCACTGTGGTGGTCTCATTGGATTTTTGGATGAAGGCTTCGTCAGCAGTCTGCAGAATGCACAGACAAAATTAGATTTAACAGAACATTGGGCACTTCTCTGGGAATATTTTTAAAAAATTAATTTCAATCAATTAATAATGTAGATCTAATGAAGAATGTGAACTTGTATATAATGAGAACAAGACAAGGCCAAGAAAATCACGTGACTCGGGGGGAAATTTAGTTCCGCTATTCTCTTTTCTCAAATATCCCTTCTTACCTTTTCGGTTTTGTCCGTTTTCCTATTTGCTGTTGTATAATCCACAAATAAATTATTTTCTACTTGTTTGTAGCTTATACAGCCACTCAGAACGTTGCTCGAATTTACTGGCAGGTGGGTTTATTTCACCAGCTGTCATACAGTATAGGCTACACAGCTACTCATTCAACAAATCCCCTGCTCGCTTTTTTTTTTTTAAATGTAAAACCATATTAGAGGATATTAGAGGTAGAAGACATTATCAGACTAGGCCAATAAAAAAATTATAATATTAATAGTATAAAGATACAAATATATTAATATTAATGAAAATACACTATTCTTAAAAAGGTTATTTATCACACTATTGAGGTCCTTTGTAGCACTTTCAAAGCATGGTTCTTTATGGAACCTTATAAAAAGGGTTCTATTTCGAACCAAAAAGTGTTCCGAAGAACCCTAATTTGGTACTGTTTAGAACCATTTCAAGTGGGTTTTTTTACACTGCAAAACAAGAAATGCCACAAATATCACCGCAAATTTTGAGAAAAGATGCTGCAATTTCAGTCATTTTAGGCCAGAAATTATCAAAAAAGATCCAGCAAAATTCTGGAGGGACTGATCAATAATCTAAGTAGCGGGTGGTTTTTTTATGCAATTATTTGTTTATGAAAGACAGATCTAAATTAATGAACCTTTATAATTGTACTTACCACATACTCTTTCACTAAATTGTCTGGATCCTCGTTGAGGTATACGCAGACCCCCTTGATAATACATTCTCGTCCAATATCGACATCATCGTCCTGGCCAAGGGTGACAAGCAGAGCAGAGGGTTTTTTTTTAAATACATTTTTACCCCCACTGATCTATATAAATAACTGGATTGCTCATGGAAACCTAAAAACTCCTAACATTTAGGATGCTTTTGATATAAAGTTTTGCTGGTTAGCTTTGTCCTTGACAGTGTACAAGACGACCTACATCAAAAGGGTTCTATTTAGCACCAAAAAGTGTTCCGAAGAACCCTAATTTGGTACTGTTTAGAACCATTTCAAGTGGGTTTTTTTACACTGCAAAACAAGAAATGCCACAAATATCACCGCAAATTTTGAGAAAAGATGCTGCAATTTCAGTCATTTTAGGCCAGAAATAAGAAAAAAAGGTCCCGCAAAATCCTGGAGGGACTGATCAATAATCTAAGTAGCGGGTGGTTTTTTTATGCAATTATTTGTTTATGAAAGACAGATCTAAATTAATGAACCTTTATAATTGTACTTACCACATACTCTTTCACTAAATTGTCTGGATCCTCGTTGAGGTATACGCAGACCCCCTTGATAATACATTCTCGTCCAATATCGACATCATCGTCCTGGCCAAGGGTGACAAGCAGAGCAGAGGGTTTTTTTTTAAATACATTTTTACCCCCACTGATCTATATAAATAACTGGATTGCTCATGGAAACCTAAAAACTCCTAACATTTAGGATGCTTTTGATATAAAGTTTTGCTGGTTAGCTTTGTCCTTGACAGTGTACAAGACGACCTACAATCTAAAACATGACATTTCTGAAACGGTTTTGTTCAAAAGAAATGGATAGTTAAAAACTAGTATTTTTTTTAAAAGGTAAAATGACAAGTATAAATAAGTAGGATTAAAACTTTTGGGTTATGCTCACCAAATTCACAGATGAAGATCATTCAAAGCAGTTTACAAAAGCTTTGAGCAGAAAGACGTCACGTAAATGCAACCACCTAAAAAAAAACCTTTGAATAATACTTCTATTACATATATTTTACTTATAAATGCTAAACCTTCAATTAATTTCATTAACCAAATAACTTAATTTCGCAGTGTATAGCCTGTCTATACATATACAGCACATACAAATGGAAAAAACTAAAATGAAGTTAGAAATAAATTAAATAAAAGATTGGAATACTCACCACTTCTACTTAACAGCCAGCATACAAAGCAAAACAGATGTCAAACTGGAGGAACAAGGTGATAAAAGACAAGACATTAAAAACAAGCCATTTACTAGCTTTTTTTAACAGTAAAACTAAATGTAAACCAAGACACACTGTGAATGGAAGAAAAGTGCAACACGCAATATGGCGGAATATTTCCGCCTTCTACCTAAAAGGCCAATCATCACGTTACTGCAGCTGAAGCTAGAGGCTCCGGTTGCCATAGAAACGGAGTCGCGCGCTTTTTTCATATTGGCTGGGCCGACCTTTTTATAACGTCATTTGAGCACAAGATACAACACCTATAAGACAATTCATGTAAGATTTCGTTGCGGATTTGAAATGTTATTTAAATGTGAGTGGCAAGCATTTGATGAGATTTTAACGTTCTGTAACATACCCTCCCCCACCCCAAATAAATCGGGTGCCAATCACTCCCTGACAGGATTTTCCCATTTGCTGCAATTAAGACCACCGAGTGAATGACCTATCTTGAAAGGGAAAGTCTGCAAAATAACAAGTATTTTCTTTGTGATCAAATTTAAAAGGTATAACTTACAGCTCAGCCAGAAGGCATTTTGACGTTTTGTAAGTAATGTTAACATATCCCCTCCCTCACCCCACATTAGTTGGCGCCACCAGTCACTCCCTGACACGAATTAGTCGTAATACACAGGGAAAAAATATGCCTGACGGATTGCACACAATTTGCAAAATATTAATGAACGTCATGGTATTAAACAGGGGTTCTGTTATCGCTAACCACATTAAACATTAGCACTAACTTTGCCTTTCCGTCGGGTTGCTCGATAAAATCAGCACAGAAAAACGTTACCGCCGGGAAAATACGTTCAAATGGATTACTAACTGTTTCTCAATGGCATTTCAGTTCAAAGTTTTAATTACCTTCACTCTGTAGCGATCCACTGCGAAAAGGTCCAGCTTCCAACATCCAGAGCTAGAGTGAAAATGGTGGACTGTCCAGCAGTTAATTGGTTCCCTCTCGAGCTTTCACGAGACATCACGGAGATATTTCTCCGTTACGGGACCGATAGAGCCGCCGGATCAGCACGACTACTGCGTCGCCTGCCTGGGCCTGGCCCACGCCGAGGCGGCGCTGGACGAGTCCAACTGCGGGCATTGCGCGGACCTTCCGGCCCGCGTGCTCCGGACCCGCCGTGATGTGGCTCGCGGCCTATTCGGGATTAGGCCCACTGCCGCCAGCGTGCCGCTGGTGGGCCCTCCCGGTGACGGGAGCGTCGTCTTGTCGCTCCACCAACCCCAACGGTCGCCCCATTCCCCGGTCTCACTCCCCGAGGACTGCTTCCGCCCTCCTTCCAACATCGCGGAGTTTGTATCCTTTGTAACATACCCTCCCCCACCCCAAATAAATCGGGTGCCAATCACTCCCTGACAGGATTTTCCCATTTGCTGCAATTAAGACCACCGAGTGAATGACCTATCTTGAAAGGGAAAGTCTGCAAAATAACAAGTATTTTCTTTGTGATCAAATTTAAAAGGTATAACTTACAGCTCAGCCAGAAGGCATTTTGACGTTTTGTAAGTAATGTTAACATATCCCCTCCCTCACCCCACATTAGTTGGCGCCACCAGTCACTCCCTGACACGAATTAGTCGTAATACACAGGGAAAAAATATGCCTGACGGATTGCACACAATTTGCAAAATATTAATGAACGTCATGGTATTAAACAGGGGTTCTGTTATCGCTAACCACATTAAACATTAGCACTAACTTTGCCTTTCCGTCGGGTTGCTCGATAAAATCAGCACAGAAAAACGTTACCGCCGGGAAAATACGTTCAAATGGATTACTAACTGTTTCTCAATGGCATTTCAGTTCAAAGTTTTAATTACCTTCACTCTGTAGCGATCCACTGCGAAAAGGTCCAGCTTCCAACATCCAGAGCTAGAGTGAAAATGGTGGACTGTCCAGCAGTTAATTGGTTCCCTCTCGAGCTTTCACGAGACATCACGGAGATATTTCTCCGTTACGGGACCGATAGAGCCGCCGGATCAGCACGACTACTGCGTCGCCTGCCTGGGCCTGGCCCACGCCGAGGCGGCGCTGGACGAGTCCAACTGCGGGCATTGCGCGGACCTTCCGGCCCGCGTGCTCCGGACCCGCCGTGATCTGGCTCGTGGCCTATTCGGGATGAGGCCCACTGCCGCCAGCGTGCCGCTGGTGGGCCCTCCCGGTGACGGGAGCGTCGTCTTGTCGCTCCACCAACCCCAACGGTCGCCCCATTCCCCGGTCTCACTCCCCGAGGACTGCTTCCGCCCTCCTTCCAACATCGCGGAGTTTGTATCCTTTAGCCAGGAGGAGGGGGATGACTCGATGCCTCGGAGAGGGAGGATTGGGCGGGATCGGAGTCCGATCAGGAGTTGGAGCTTACCTGGAGTCCTCCAGAGGAGCCTGCCAGGAGTAAGCTTGACTCCTGGTATTTCAGGTCCACCCGGAAAGCTGACTCGAGGACGTCGGTCCCCTTTTTCCCCAACGTACATGAGCAGCTGGTGAAAACATGGCCTGCGCCCCAATCAGCGTGCGTCCACTCTGCCACACAGGCCATTTTTACCCACGTGGATGGGGCAGAGGCCCACGGGTACGTGCGCTCTCCCCCAGTCGAAGAGACCGTCGTTGCGCACCTGTGTCCTGCAGCAGCCAAGACCATAGGCTCAGACATCAGCCTCCCCTCAAAGCCGTGCAGAACCACCACCCACCTTGTCAATAAAGCATGTGCATCTGATGGCGAGGCGGCTTCCGCACTGCACGCCATGGCAGTGCTGCAAGTTTTTCAGGCGAAGCTCCTGCAGGCAGCGGAGGGCGGAGCCCTCACGGCAGAGGCCACTAAGGATCTGCGCACGGCGACGGACTTCGCGCTGATGGTGACGAAGCGAGCGGCCCAGGCTGTAGGTAAGGTCATGGGTTTTATGGTCATCCTTCAGAGCCACCTTTGGTTGAACCTAGCTGACCTCAAGGATGTTGACCGTAAAGTGCTGCTGAATGCTCCTGTGACTCCCTCCGGCCTTTTTGGTAACGCCGTGGAGTTCATTACTGAGCGCTTCGCGGAGGCTCAAAAGCACGCCAAAGCCATGAGTCACGTGATGCCGAGGC